GGATGAATTAGCTGGTGCGTTTGAACTGCGTGCCTTCTGGATGGCAGTGCAGCTTCTTGCCACTAGGTCACGAGAGTTACCTATGGTTGCCCACTGTTGTTGTAATGTACCATCAAGTCGCCTGTGGCTCATAGCAACCCTGTGAACAGCAGCTCTGAAGCCTCCCTTGTCCTGAGCCAGTCTCACTAATTCCGACACATCGTACCTCCATTGCCCCAGTCACTGTATCAATCCGTCTCATCTGGGGTCTCCCTCTCCTGCGCTGTCCATTTGCTCTTCCGAGCATAATGCCCTTCTCCAAGGAGTCTTTCCTGTCCACATGCCCAAAGGAACTGAGACAGAGCTTCAAAATCGTAGCCTCCGAGGAGAGACTTGGGTTCACCCTCTCTAACACAGACTTATTTGTTTTCTTGGCAGTCTATGGTATGTATGTTCAGGGCTTTTTTCCAGCATCACAACTTGAAGGCATTGATTCTTCTTCTGTCATCCTTAGTTACTGTTCAGCTCTCTGAAGCACAGCAAATCAATGTGAAGTAATTGTGGTTGCCCTTAGATGGGATTAAAGAGAGAAGCATTTGCTTCTGCTTTGGGCATGTTGACAGGATGGGCTGGTCCTTGGAGAAAAGACACCATACTTGGAAAAGTGGAGGGTCCGAGAGAGAGTGAGACCTTTAATGAGATGGATAGCCACAGTGATTGCAAAGGTGGACTTAAAGGTGACCCCCTGCGGACCGAGCAGGATCCATGTGTGGGGTCCCTGGGAGGCAGGGCCGACTGCGTGGCGCCGAACAACAGGAACCCCGAGAGGACAATCCAGCCTTCACAGCCTGCTGTTTCCTTTAAGCCCAGAGCTTAGACAGGACTTTGACCCAAGCCAGTTCAGTATCTCTGTTTGGATTCACCTCCGGATTTTGTCTTAACCAATGAGCTTGAACCAGAACATAGCTCTGGCTGTTTGCCTTGCTCCCACTCTGCTCAAGTCCTCTGGCTTCTTGCTGATCGACGAGTGACATAAATGCCTCGTGTCTGCACATTTCGTGAGGGGAAAAAAGTTTCAGAGCAGGGCTGAGGCCTCCTAAAAAGCATCCACTTGGATTTTGAGGTAATTCCAAATTTTGCTATCTCAGTAGAGGAATAAACCAACAAAAAAGAATAAGAATGTTGTTGCTATTATGTGCTGTCGAGTTACCTGCGACTCGTAGCGACCCTCTGTACAATAGCTCTGAACTCTGCTCTATTCTGAGCCAACCTTATTGTCTCTGACACACCTACCCCCATTACCCCAGTCACTGAATCTAGCCATCTCACCCAGAGTCTTCCTCCCCTGTGCTGTCCCTCCACCCTCCCAAGCATGATGTCCCTCTCCAAGGACCAGTCCCTCCTTGCAACATGTCCAAAGTATGTCAGACGAAGCCCCAGAATCCTTGCCTCCAAGGAGCAGCTGGTTTAACCCTCTCTAGGATGAATCTGTTTGTTTTCCTAGCAGTCCATGGTATGTTCAATACTCTTTTCCAGCACCACAGCTCAAAAGCATCAATTCTCCTTCTATCCTCCCCAGTCATTGTCCAACTCTCTCATGCATAACAAGTGGTTGCAAAGACCAGGGCATGTATCAGGTACACTTTAGCCTCTAGAGTGTCTCCATTGCTCTTCGGTACTTTGGAGAGGTCCCCAACAGCAGACATTCTCATTGCAATACATCTTTTCATTTCCTGGCTGCTGGTGCCAAGAATGTTGACTGTGGAGCCAAGCAAACTAAAGCTGTGGACAATCTCAATCTCTTCACCATCCATCCTGATGCTGCCAATTGAAATAAATGAACTCTCAGGTTATTTCTGTTCCATGCTAAAAATTTGGAAGATCACAGGAAGTTTGAGTCTTGTTGTTGTTAGGTGCCTTTGAGTTGAGTACGATTCATGGAGACCCTATGAACAGCAAGTCTGTACCCTGTTCTGTTCTGCACCATCCTGACACTTCCCATTGCAGTAGTCACTGTGTCAACCCACCCGGCTGAGGGTCTTCCTTTCCTCTACCCTTCTTAGCATCATGTCCTTCTCCAAGGAATAGCATCTCCAAGCAACATGTCCAAAGTATGAGAGATAAAGCCTCATCATTCTCGCCTCCAAAGAGCACTGCAGTTGCACCCTCTCTAAGATACGTCTGTTTGTTCGCCTGACCGTCCATGAGATGTTCAGTGCTCTTCTCCAACACCACAGCTCAGAGGCATCAATTTTCTTTCTGTCATCCTTATTCATTGTCCAGCCCTCAGATGCATAGCAAGTGATCGGAAAGACTATGGCCTGAATCAGATGCACCTTCGTCCTCAAACTGACATCATTGCTCCTCAATAATTTGGAGAGGTCCCTAACTGTAGATTTTCCCAATGCAATGCAACTCCTTATTTCTGACTGGTAGTACTTTTCGTATATATTAATATGTATTAGTATTTGGTAGTGAGGAGGGTGAAAAACAATGAGACGACGATGTACATATTGAGTGTCAATTGCATTATCTCTGTTTTCTTCTTTATGCAGTCTGTGAGTGGTGTGGGCATTGTTGTTGTGTGCCATTGAGTCAGAAAAGACTCATAGATGACCCTCCAGCAAGTTTTCAGAGGCGATAAATCACGTGGGAGGAGATTTCTCATCCTTCTTTGGCAGAGCAGCTGGTGGATTCGAACCAGGGGCCTTAGGGATTGCAGTGCAATCTTCTAACCACTAGGCTACTAGAGCTCCCTGTGGTTTAGGGATTGTGGTTAGGTGCCGTCGAGTACAACTCATAGTGACCCTATAAACAGCTAACCTGGACCCTGCCCCATCCTGTGTCATCCTTATTATCTCTGACACACTAGCTGCCATTGCTGAAGTCACCGTGTCAATCCACCTCATTAGAGTTTGTGCTAAACGAATTCTTAAAGCTTCTTCTGGTTTTTTAATTCCATTTTTCCCTATTTTAGTAAAATCAGTTGATAAAGCATAACAGATTTTAATTTTGCTTGGTCAGACTATTTAGGAGATGTTGTTGTTGTTGGCCTTTAAGTGGAGCTCGACTCATAGCGACCCTAGAAACAAAAGGCCTGAAGCCCCTCTACAACTATCGACATTTATCAAAGTTCATAGAATTTCCGGAGGCATGTTGTTTAGGAAGTGGGTGCCACTCCTGCTTCCAAACCTGTCATAGTATGTTATTGTTGTTATGTGCCACTGAGTCACCTGTGATGTACAGCGACCCTATGTGCAGCAGCTCTGAACCCTTCCCTGTCCTGAGCCAGTCTCACTAATTCTGACACACCAGCCCCCATCGCCCCAAGTTACTGTATCAATAGACATCCCCAAATTCATTTTGTGAGTAACAAGTAGAAAAATAACATCCTGAAATGTGTCAGTTTGATGATCTCTTAAAATGTTCATCAGTAAAGTTTTGCTTACTTATTTTCACACTTGAAGTTCAAGTAAATAGCCTCTGCAAACAAGTTTTAGCGATTTGAAATGATATAATGTTTGTTCTTTGTTTTTCTTGTAGCTTTACCACCCAAATATTGTACGCTATTACAAAACATTTCTGGAAAGTGAGTATGAATTTTCATAATTTATCTAATGATAGAAAATAATCTGGCTTTAACAGAGTTTTATATTGTTGTTGTTATGGGTTGTGGAAGTGGCAACACAGCCGAGTTTTTTCAGCAGACTGTTAGTCTAAATTGCATGGAAGAAGCTTGCTTATCTTTCTACCAAGGAGCAGCTCGTGGATTTGAACCCCGTACTTTCCGGTTGGCGTCACAACTCCTTACCAGAGTCACAAAATAAGCTGCCACATTCACAAAATAAATTCAAGAAATTACTTTTTCACTGTTTTGTTAACAGCAGTTGATATTTGTACATCATTGTGGAACAATGGTAACATTAATGATCTGAACTCTCATAAAAGAAAGATAAGGACTGACTTTGAAAGGGGCTATATAAAACCCCCAAATAGTTATTATTGCTATTTTCAATGTAAAAAACCACACCCACCCGATAGGATCAAGACAAAAGAAAATAAAATAACCACGAGTTCTTTCATTTTTAAATTTTAAGATGAAATTATTTAATCAGGTGACATTTTCAAAACCCAAAAGAAACTTGAGGTTGTTGGGGTGGGGGGGGTTTAAACATTTTTTTTTAATTTGCATTGGTTTGCATACGTAGTTTGTAAACATTGTGTTTCACATTATCCTTCATGCACACTGTGTTTTGCACAATCATTCTCATTTTTTATGTTTTATAAAAATCAGTCACCATTGAACTATGCCCACCACTACCCTGTCTTTGCAGATCCCCACGGGGTCTTTCCCACTTCTTCCTACCCCCACAATACCCTCCAAATTGTGTGGCCCTGTGATTCCGCCCTGCCCATCCTCACCCCTTCCGCCCTTTGACTCAATACACATTCTATTAGTTATTCTTCTATTTTAGAATAGTAGTCTCATGCAGCATTTGTCCTTATGAGACCAAGTAAATTCATTCACCCTAATGCCTTCCCTTCTCTCCCAAGTTATGTAGCAATTTTCGAAATCGTTGCTCCTGAGTGCTGAGTACTATTGCATCGTGTGAAGGTACCGCAAACAAATTTTGAGTTTTGAGAACCTATCTGGGTGACGCAGATGGTTCAGCACTTAACTACTAGACAAAAGGTTATCTGTTCGAACCCACTCAGAGGTGCCAAGGAGAACAGACTTGGCTGTCTGTTTCTGACAAGTTACGGCCTCAAGAGCCCTGTGAAGTGGTTTCTAATTTATAGACACGGTGCTGCCCTTGGGTGCCTTCAACTGCTGCAAAGTCAAGTCTTGGGAGGATTTTTTTAACCTGGAATTCTTATTACTGCCACCAGGTGGCAACAGTGTATGCAGGATAACTCCCCAAGCCAGTCACTTCTATTAAAAGCATAGAACATACTGCAGAAATAACAAGTATTGATAAGACTTAGTGATCTAGATCACATGAAAGTTTAAACTAGAACTCTGTGTGGGGAAAAATGTCTAAAGAAGTACAAGCCAGTGACTGAGGTTTCCTCAGACCCTGCTGCCTCCCTGAATCAGAACCAGGTGACCACTATCACTCCTGCCCTTTGTCAAGGTTCGTGTTAGGGAGCTCTGGTGGCCTAGTGAATAAGGCAGTGGTTCACATCCTCCAGCTGCTCCTCTGGAGAAAAATGGGCAGCCTCCTCCGATGTAATGTACAGCCTTTGAAAACATGCTGGAGGCCTGGCTCTGAGTTGATTCTGAAATGACGGTAATGAGGGAGTTTTGATTCTTAGTAGAGAAAACATGCTGTATGTTTTGGTCTTTGTTATGATTTTACCCACCTTCTCGCTCTGTGCTGGTTAGACGAAGTCAGTGATAAATGTCTCTACTGTGAAATCCGGGCTGTTTGGGCCTTTGTTCGCAATCTGAGCATAATTACTCTTACTTTCTCTGGTGGCTTAGTGCTAAGAAGCTGCGCTGCAATCCTGAAGGCATGCAGTTCGAATCCACCAGCTGCTCAATGGGAGAAGGATGGGCAGTCTCCTCCCATGTGGTTTACTGCTGTTGAAAACCCTCCAGAGGGTCAGCTTTGGGTTGGTTCTGACTCGATGGAACACAACAACAACAACAACAACAACAACAAAAGCAACCCTTAGCTTAATGCATATCCCGTCAGAGAGATACCAAGATTGGCTTCTAAAGTGGGCTGAAATGATATACAACATGATACAAATGAGAACACATTTCATAATGTGTTAACTACCTGGTATTGTCTCAAAGGAATTTGAAGTGATTTAAAAATGTGTAATATGGAATAAAATTTTGTGGTTGTTTCTATAGCCTGTCAAGTCAGAACCAACTCATGATTGACCTGCTAGTGGGTTTTGGGGGGCTGTAAACTGCACTGTACGAGACTGCTCATCTTTCTTCCAAGGAGTCGCCTGCCTGCCTTTGGGTTCGCAGCACGACTTCTGACTGCTAGGCCACCAGTCCTTCCTATAGTGTAAAGAGGACGAGAAAACTGTGGTCAAGGGGATTAAAAGGTGAAGAAAATGGAAGCAAATCCCAAATAAAGCACCTACAGTAAATAGCTTGGAAATATTAGAAGTTCGAATCACAGAAATGTCTCTCATCAGAATGATTATATAAGATACAATATTATGCCTTATTATGCGTCAAACACAGAAAAAGTTTGAATCTGTATATACAGTGAAATGTATGAGCCTGTTAAACGAAACAAGTTAAAGTAATAGATCGTGAATGGTGTGATTCTGCTTTGGTAAATATCGCCCGTGTAAATATGCATATTATTTTATATACATTTAAAAGTCACAAAAGATAGATGTATACTATTGCAGTTAGTTTCATATTAAACTTGGAAGAGGAAGTAAAATTTACACATTTATCTTTTGGCATCCAAGACAAAGTAGCCAACATAGTCACTTGTGGGGTTCCCAGTGACCATAAGGTAAAAATCGGGAATGTAGCTTTCTCCCTTTTCAGGGGTGCAGCTGAGCATTTGTCCTGCTTGGTCCTGTGGACCTGGTTGTGGCTCTGAAAGGCATTCTCTGAGAGCCCCGAGCAGTGCAGCTGAAAATGCAATTTGCTCGACCTCCGGTCTGATGGAAGGGTACATGCTAAATGCTGGAGAGGAAAGCTAGGTCCCACATACTCTCCAGGAAATTCTCCATCACTTTGTTTATTCCTTTTGGCTCCTCCCAGCCATTCCATATCCTGGGGTTTGTGGGAAAAGATAATATTTGTCAGAAAATGTATACATTGGGGGTGGCTCCTAGCCACAAGATTGTGCCCCTGGACTTGAGTGGTCACGCTTCCTCCAGAGATGAGTTGGTCTACATCTCAGCACACCTCTTGAATGTTGTACTGTCGAAACCCATTGGGAAGTTTGGCTCTAAACTGTTAAGTTTGATAAGATGTCCTGTATTGAGTTCAGAAGTCCCCAGGTGGTGTGAACAATCAATGCACTGACTGAGAGGTTGGAGCTTCGAGTCGACGCTACAATGCCCCAGAAAAAGGTTTCACAAAACCAGACGTTGACAGTTCTCCAGGGCACCCATGTGGTCTGGTTGCTCATAGGGTGTCTGGGAGTCCAAATTGGCTGCAGAGCATCCGGTGCTGGTCTCAGTGCCTTAAAGTTTAAATTCCTGTTACCTTTCTGTGTCGTTTGTTTAGATGACAGATTATATATAGTCATGGAGCTCATAGAAGGCGCCCCTCTGGGAGAGCATTTTAGCTCTTTGAGGGAAAAGCAGCAGCATTTCACTGAAGAAAGGCTGTGGAAAATCTTTATACAGGTATGCACCTTCTTCAGCACATTTTCCTGTAGAAGATATAGTCCAAGTCCCGGCTGATCCCACAGAATCCCATAGAAAGAGAAATGTATTGCAGTCACCACTGGTGATACACATCCTGAGGGGCAAGGAAAACCTGTCGTTTTCTTGCTGTTTGCAGCTGTGCTTGGCTCTTCGGTACCTGCACAAGGAGAAGAGGATTGTCCACAGAGATCTGACACCAAACAACATCATGCTGGGGGACAAGGACAGAGTGACCGTGAGTGAGTACCAGCCAAAAGCTGTACGTTTTCAACCTGCGCTTTTCCGAACATTCTTCTAGGGCAGTGCCGGCCAGAGGCACTATTCACCCAAGTGGAATTGCTCTTCCCTCACCCCAGACACGTATTATTTATTATATCATTAACCTTTATTGACTTGTTCAGGTGCTTTGTTTCACGCATGTACCTCTGAGCTACAGAGCCCTGCCTCAACTTTGGTAGCTATCAGGAGTCACAGACAGGCTTCTATGATAAATACTGTTTTCCATTTAAGTAAAATTTTTATCTTATATTGGTTTACTTAAAAAAAATTCATATACATTGTTTCTCACACCAGACCTTTCCCATTTCTTTTTTTTTCTTTTGAAGTTTTTATTACTTTTTTGGAAGCATCATTCAGATGTTGGATTGTGCAAAGGGACATACAGTGTCAAATCTCCCTCATGATCTTTTCTTCTCATATCACTGTTTTCTTAGAAGTCATTCATGTTTTCATGAACTTGTATCAGTTTCCACAGTAGTTCTCATCTAAACAAGAAAACATTATATATTAATTAGAGGTAATTTGCCTCTTTTGTATGCAAGTGATACCATATGATCTACATTGTTCTTGGTTCTGCTTTTTTTTTTTTTGTAAGTTTGATAATACCTTTTCAAGATATTTTCCGTTATCTTTTGTATTCTTTTTTTATTGTGCTGTAATACACCTAACAATAAATTCACTATTACAGCAATTTTAAAGTAAACAATTTAGTGGCAATAAATATATTTACAGGATTGGGTGACCATAACCACATAACTTCAGAAAACTTTCCTTACTCCGGAAGGAAGCCCTACTAGCCACTCACAAAGGAGGAAATTCTGTTCCTAGAAATGTTTGTAGCTTCAAAACCTTGTTGGATAGAGTCTACTGGATCAGTAGCAATGGGTTATTGTAATTCAAGTAAAAGCATGTGGAGACTGTCGGACCCGACCTCTACTGACTCCACAAAGAGGAATTTGATTAACAGCATTCACCACTCAATATTAATTCCTAGAAGGTTACACACATATTCTCACTCTCCTGTACCCACTTATCGGGCTTGAAATCCACAGTAGTGACCACACAGAGAGTTGACACAATCATATTCACTGTCACGGGGTTTATTAGGGAAGTTAATAAACTATAATTCAGAATAACAACAATACACAATTCCTCAGTCCAAAGAAGTTCTCACTTTCTGTCTCAAGATACAATCCCTCGTGCAAGAATCTCTGGCCCTGAAGGATGCATGCCACATTCTCTGCTTCTTCTGGTGATGAGATTTCACCTTTCCTGACACTGAATCTGCTCAAGTTATGAGGGAAGAGTTGATTGAAGCAGCTGTTAATGATGTAGGTAGTCAAACGCATTTGCAAGACAGGCAGACTTGAAGCAGCTAGATAAAATAAGGACAATGGTCTCGGGAAGCAAACGTTTTAGCAACTAACCCCCACTGACACCGCGGTTACTGTCTAATGAATATCCTTCTCATCCCTGGCAATGCCTTGTAACCATTAAATAACTTTGTTTCCACTTGGTAAACCTATTCTTTCCTGTTTGTAAATGTAATAATATGTATTTGTCTAAATTTAAGTATGATTATGTCAATTCATGTCAGTGTTGTTATTTTTCCAGAATATATATCATATTCCTATTTTTAACTTTTGAATGCATTTTATTATGTGCCATCAAGTTGCCTGTGGCTCACAGCTGCCCTATGCACAATAGCTCCGATCTCTGCTCTATACTGAGCCAAGTCTCACTGTCTCTAATCAACTTGCCCCCATTAGCCAGTTGCTGTGTCAGTCTATTTCATCCGTGGGTCTTGCTCTCTTGCCGCTGTCCCTCCACCCTTCCAAGAATGATATCCTTCTCCAGGGACTGGTCTCTCCTAGCCACATGCCCAAAAGATGTGAGATGAAGCTGCAAAATCCTTGCCTCCAAAGAGCAGCCTAGTTTCACCCTCTCTCCAGGATGAACCTGTTTGTTTGCCGTCCACAGTGTATTCAGTACTCTTCTCCAGTATATTTAGTAATCTTCTCGAGCACCATAACTCAAAGGCGTCTATTCTTCTTCTGTCATCTTTGGTCATTGCCAACCTCTCGTTGGTACTTGCGAAGACCATGGCGTGAATCAGGCGTATCTTAGTCTCCCAGACATTGTTGCTCTTCAGCAATTTGGAGAGGTCTCTGACAGCAGCTGTCTTCAAAACAATTTGTCTTTTGATTTTTTCTTTTTGTCAGTGTTCTTTTTTTAATTTTTTAAATTTTTTTTTTTTTGTGTGTGTGTGTGTATGTTCCTCCTTCTCCAGCAGAGCATCTGGTGGGTTTGAACCGTGCACCTCTGGGATTGCAGTGCACCTTCTTGCCACTAGGCCCCCAGAACTCCAGTGTTCTTTTTTTTAAATTGAGATTTTAATGCAACGTTATAGAGAACTTGAATTTCCATTCATTTGTTGTTGGACATTTGCCTTCCTGCCCACCCTTCCCCACTAGTTTGCTTTTCTTTTTGAAGAGAAAAAATAATTCCTTCATTGTTATACAATCCCCCTCCCCTCATTCCACTTTACTATGCGTCCCCTCTTCTGGATTCTTGTCATGCAGACAGTACCCAATCATATCTCCCCTTTAAACAGTTCTCTCCCTCATCTGTTTTAATGCAGTGTACGTTATTTATCCCCTCTTTTCCTAGTTTCCCCCCAAACTCAATGTCAGTCCTGTTTTACAACACTGGCACTATGCAGTATTTGTCCTTTTGTGACTGAGATATTTCACTCAGCACAATGTCCTCCAGGGTCACCCGTTTTGTACCATAATTCATGAGTTCCTTGTTTTTTAATGCTGCATAGTATTCCTTTGTGTGAATATACCACAGCTTCTCTAGCCATTCGTTTGTTGATGGGCACTTAGGTTGTTTCCAACTCCTTGCTATTGTGAACAAAGCTGCAGTAAACATAGGGGTGCATTCCCATTTCTTTGACCCACCCTCTGCCTTCCCCCATCAAATTGTGTGTTGTATATACAACAATATATGCTTGGAATTTACAAGTAACTTATGTTTTAAAATGCCCCACCGTCTTAACCCCTCTGCTCTCCTCCTTACTCCCCCTTGGATACTCGTACTTGCTCTACAATAATGATCTTATACAGTATTTGTCCTTGTGGGACTGAATTAGTTCACTCAGCATAATGCTCTCCAGTCCCTCTCAAGTCAGGTAACAATTTGCAAAATCATTGCTCCTATGTGCTACATAGTGTTTCATCATGTGAATGTGCCATAATTTCTCAATCCATTCAATTTGGGTTTTGGGGATTGATCTTTATATGTTCTGTCTCAAACTCTCACCACTAACTATGCGCCGTGACCACAGAACTGAATTTTCAGTTTTATTTCACTTTAATTAACTAAAAGCTCCACGTGAGGCTAGTGGATACCATGTTGGAGAGTAGTTGTTGCTGTTGTTGTTGTTGTTGTGCACCAGAGTCAGAACTAACCCATAGCTGACCCTCTGGTGGGTTTTCAGAGGCCGCTAATCACACGGGAGGAGATGGCCCGTCCTTCTTCCGTGGAGCAGCTGGTGGACTCGAACCGCGTCCCTTTGGGATTGCAGTGCAGCTTTTTGCCACTAGGCCACCAGATTTTGCCATTCCTGTGCTTACCCTATTGTGCTATATTTTGCCCTTTTGAAAGTAAACATCCTCAGAGTGCCTGAGAATTTAAGTTCTCAAAGCAGTGATTGTCAGATTTTCTCTTCTCTTGTGGAACACCACCATCTCCTGTAACCAAATCATTAATTTTTTTTAAAATTGTTAATTCTCGAGTGTTTACTTTTTTGTTGTTGTTCTTATTTATTAGAGAAGTCAAAGGCTATAATTCAGGTTGGCAGCAGGCTATAATCTCTCCGTCAGGACAGCTTCCAATATGTGCTCGCCAGTACCTCAGCCTTCAGCCCCCAGGCTGCTTGTTGTTCTTGTTGTTGTTGTTGTTATGTGCCGTCGAGTCGCTTGTGACTCATAGCGACCTTATGTACAACAGCCCTAAACCCTGCTCTATCCTGTGCCAATCGCACTGCCTCTGACACATCCATCCCGATTACCCCAGTCACTGAATCAATCCACCTCATAAAGGGTCTTCCCCTCCTGCACTGTCCGTCCACCCTCCCAAGCATGATGTCTCTCTCCAAGGACCTGTCCAAAGTATGTCAGATGACGCCCCAGAATCCTTGCCTGTTTGTTTTCTTGGCAGTCCATGGTACATTCAATACTCTTCTCCAGCACTACGGCTCAAAGGCATCAATTCTTCTATCCTCCCTAGTCATTGTCCAACTCTCTGATGCATAACAAGTGATTGCAAAGAACATGGGCTGTACCAGACACACACCATTGCCCTTGAGTACTTTGGAGAGGTCCCTAACAGCAGACTTTCCCATCGCAATGTTTTTTGATTTCCTGGCTGCTGGTGCCAAGAGTATTGACCATGGAGCCAAGCAAACTGAAGCTGTGAACAACCTCAATCTCTTTGCCATCGATCCTGATGCTGCTAATTGGTCCAGTGGTGAGAATCTTTGTCTTCTTGACATTGAGCCTCAATCCATACTGAAGGATGCAGTCCTTGACCTTCTGCAGCAAGTGCATGAGGTCCTCCTCAGTTTCAGCGAGCAGGGTTGTGTCATCTGCATAACGCAGATTGTTAATAGATCTTCCACCAATTCTGACCCCACATTTCTCCTCATAGAGCCCAGCCTCTCGGATAATCTGCTCTGCATACAGGTTGAAAAGGTATGGAGACAGGACACATCCCTGGCGTACACCCTTCCCAATTTTGAACCATACGGTGTTGCCCTGCTCTGTTCTGATCACTGCCTCTTGGTCCAAGTATAGGTTTTGCCTCCTGGTTTAGGCCAGTGTTATCAAGCCCTTAGTCCTGTTAGTGATGACATCTCTCCCACCTAGTCCTCCGACAAACTTGGACCACGGCTCCT